CAGGAGAAGAATGCTCTGAAATCAAGGCAGGGTGCAAGAGGGCTGCAACTCAATCTGGGCTACTGTATAGACTTTGGCACTTGTGCTGGGCTGCATGGGCTACCTGTCTGGCTACTAGGTGAATTTTAAGAATGTGAAGTCTCAACTGATCCTGAGAAACTTTCCAGTTGACTACAAGACAGAGAAAGTCCAGCCTCACATTAATGTGAACTTCTGGGCACAGTTTCCTGTCTCCATTTGCGCAGAGATGAACAAGAAGTTGGAAAGCATTGTCAGTCTCCCCTGGTGAGCAGAAAGCAGTGACACCTCAAAATAGCAGCAGATGAACCAGACAACTGCAGCCCGATCAGTTTAGGATAGACCTAGAATCAAGAGTCAGGCATCAGACTGTGCTGTCAGCTGCGGACGGTAAGATTGTCAGTGCCAGTGACCACACGCTTAGCGTAAGACTGGGATGTCGACGTGAATGAGCACTGCACAGTCATTTCCTTAACTGTCTGTCAATATAGCTCCTTCAGAATTTTTAAAGTTTTAATATTTATTATGACTATCAAGTGGAAGGAGGGTACATTTGTACATGGTGCGCATGTAAGCGGCCAGGGGAGAACTTTGGAGAGTCATTCTCTCCTCGTACTTTTATGTAAGTTCTTGGTATGGAACTCAGGTCACCAGGCCTATAAGGCAGTGTTTTTACCACTGGACCATCTCACTGGCCCTATCTGGTATTTTAAGATAGAATCCCAGGTAACCCTTGAACCCACCTATTTTATAGCCAAAATCAAACACTCCTGCCTCTGCCTCCTTTAGTAAAGTTTAGTTAAAAGTATCTTCAGAGGGCAGATTGGGAGGGCTCCCTCAGCTCACAAATGCCAGACTGTGGCTCGGCCCAGACAGAAACAAGGCAGTCAATTCAGAAGTCTTCTCCTGGCACTTTCTAGGAAGACTCCATGACTTTTTTTGTTTTTTAACTATAGATGGCTTCTCTTATAAACACAGAGAATGGAGCAAATTCACTAACTGATAGACCAGGGTGGTATATTAGTTATTTATTTCATTGCTCTGACAAAATACCTTAATAAAGCAACTTGTTTTAGTTACTTTTCTGTTGTGGTATAACACCATGCCCACGGCAACTTGTAGAAGAAAGTGTTTAGCTGGGCTTGTGGTTTCAGAGGATTGGAATCCTGGTCATCCTGGCAGGAGCACAGCCTCAGGTAGGAAGCCACTGGAACTGCTGTCATCTGATCCACAAGCACAAAAGCAGAAATGGAGAGACTCCAGAATTTAATATACTTCTAATATTGTATGTCTGTGGTGTAAGATTGTAGATATATCTAGCTATATCCTAGATGTTATAATGTTACCCTGTAATGCCAACAAGAAGCTCAAGGTCATCCTTAGCTACATAGGAATTTTAAGGCCAGCCTGGGCTATATGAGACCTTATAGCAAACAAACAAAAAGATATTTCTGAATATCATGTTAGACCTCCAGATTTAAAGCGATTCACCTTTGAGTCTGTGAAGATAGCTCAGCTGTTAGGAGCACTTGCCACTTTTTTAGAAGACCTGGGTAAACTCCGAGCACCTACCTGGGGTCCACAACCATCCTGTCTCTGGTTGTAGGCGGGTTAGGTACCCACTTCTTAGTCTCCAGGCACCATGGGTGCACATGCATGTGGAACACATACATACATGCCGGCAGGAGACTCACACATAAAATAAGATGAATACATTAAAAAGATTCAGCTTTAAGGTGTTAGCAGTTTAGAGGGACAGAAGAAACTTGGTTCTCAAAATGATTCTTTCAAGTTGAGGGAAACTTGGTTCTGATAAGGCGTCAGTTTTTGTATCTTAATCTCGGAGTAGCTGCAGGTGGGAACTGGTAATGGTGACTGGCACTTTGCAAACCTGTATTGAGTGAGCAGACGGAGGTGTGGCTTCCTGGGCACCGAACCTTGATTCCCTACTCTGATTGCTGAGAAGCAATGGTATGGACAGACCCATATGAAAAGGGCTTCCTAAAATAGCCCTTCATGCCCTGTTCCCACACTCGCCACCTTTATCTGTTCACACCAAAAGTAGCCTTCGGGGTGCGGCCAGCTACGTCCTTCGTGTTGTGTCATTTTGGGGTGGAGAGGATGGATGTGTGTTAAAGTCAGTGATTCAAGACTTAATTTTTTTTTTTTGTTGTGTGTGGATTTGTTGCTGTTGGTTCATTGCTCCAAAGTGTGAAACAGCTTTCTGGAGCTCCCCTGCGAGCTGGGCAGAGCTTTGTGCATGTGCTCCCATGATGGCAGCACCAGGGAGACAGATTGGACCTCTGTTGTAGTCCCACCACTCGTTTATTTTTTAGTAGTTTAATGGGTACACTTTAGAGTTTCCATTTTGTATGAAAGTGTGTCTTCTCCTTCAGTGCTGTAATCAATATCACTTAAAATAAAACTTGAATGCAATATTGAAACCCCAAATGAAAGGTAGATATCAATAGAGGAAGAAACATGAGGTTGCCATCTGGCCTTCACCTATGTACACACCTGCATAGACACACACATGCAACCGTGGCACAGAATATTTGCGTGAAATTGGCTTTTAAAGATAATGGCATAATTAATTGTGAAATCCGTAAGTTGGATGCTGATTCTTTTACAAATTATTTCTACAGAAAGTTCCCAAGTTAGTATATGAATAAGATATAACAAAAAAGTTTACTTGAAAAACTTATTTTTTCATTTATTTCCTTGTTTTTCCACTTTATTTAGTGTGTAGAGGGCCAGAGCCATGGTGTGTAAGTGGAATGCAGAGGACAGGCCGTCCAAGTCTGCTCTCTGTTATGTGTGTCCTGGGGATAGAGTCCAGGTTTGACAGCAAAAAACTCTGAGCCATCTTACTGCCCCTTCCTCCCAAATGTTTTGAGTCTTTTCACATATTGTTGAAACACTTAATTTTTCTATATTCTAGCTGGAAAAAAAAAAGCGCCAAGAATCAGATATAGAAAAGCAAATGGCGATATTTGTGTGGATGTGATGTTTCTTTCTTCAGGTGTTAAAAATGTTTTCAAAATTAAGTCGTTGGTGCAGTTCAGTGAAAATACTAAAGATCATTGATTTGTATTTTTTAAGGGGTAAATATTAAGGTGTGTGAGTTATATCTCAGTAAAGCTATTTTTAAGAAGGCTGTGAACTTGAACAGGCATATCTGTTAATAGTTACTGACTTTCCAGTCATTCAGTGGGAAATTATGTGAGCAAATGTACAAAAGCCAACAGAGCTTTTAGATCTGGTTATATTTTAGGGAATCTTAACGGCCTAGAAGTCACTGGATGATGTATGTTAAGGTGATAGCACTGAAAGGTTGAGGATTCTCATCTGAGCTGTGTCATGAAGTGACTGATACACCGGAGGGCAGAGGCTGAACTCAGCAGGTGAGGAAGGGAGAAAGAAACTCTCACCAAATGTTTGATTATTTGATTTTTGAGGAATTTTGTCTTTAGCAGACAGTAAGGGGTCTTTTTTTTTTTTTTTTTTTTTTTTTTGAGATAGCGTCTTGTCATGGATCCCAGACTGGCCACACATTTGTCACCCTCTGCTATCTTGCATGAGTTCTTTAATATACTTTATAGACAGAGTTGCTCATGTTTTTCTGCTCTGGATCTTGTTAGGTTGTCGTCTGTGTCTGATACTTCAGGGTCATTCTATGGAAAATCTGTGCTCTTTGAAATTAAAGGATGAGCAGGAAGGGCCATGCAGTGTTTTGTTTGTTGTTTTTTTACTTCCGACAGTAACTCACCTACGCATGTAGATATATATTTCTTTACCATTTGCTACCTTCTGAAGTTAGTAACACGTCCTGGTGGTCTCCGGGGTTCAGAAAGAAGCACAGTACTTTTGGTGTATCTCTTTTCTCCTAATAATCCTTCCAAGTTATTTCCATTGAAGTGTCATGAACAAAACTCTTCACATAAATTTACACGGTTTTGTTTTAATCAGTTTTACACAATTTTGTCTCAGTCGATTTCCTGTCACTTTGGGGTAGGAAGATAATATATAGACCTAATGGTGTGACAAAAAAAATCATTTGTTTGCTGACAGCCTGGTAAAAATGGTGCTTGATATACTTGAAAGCTCAGGTGACGTTTTAAACTCTTAGCCTGCCATGTTGAGTATGTGCCTCTTACTCAGTTCTGGGCCTGACGTAGGGTGTGGGTTGGACATTTAATGGGGTAGAACTCTGTCTTTGAGTTTCTGGAGACGTAAATCAAGCCAGGCTTGAAGATGGGGCTTCTAACCCTGCAATACAAGGTGGAGTTGAGGGATAGAAACCTTATTTGGAACTTTTTAGTTTTTGCCTCATGTTCTTTTTCTCTTAGAGGATCACTGAGCTATTTTGCATTTAGTTGTCACAACTTCTTAAGATCCTCTTGGCCATATGACAGTTTCCAGGCTTTGTTGTTTCTGGTTTCTTTAGAGCTTTGGTGAGTACTTAACAGGTATGAGCTGTTCCTCTTGAAATGTGATGTCACGAGACTAGATTTATGGAGTTGCACATCCAGAGCATATTTGGTTTCATGAGGAAGTATTAAACTTTCACACTGGCAGTGATTGAGAGTTCTTGTCCTTCAGCACTCGTTAGCATTTTGAGGATAGCAGTTTTTGGACCAAACCCACTCCAATAGGTAACAGTGCTCACGGTACAGGGTACAAGTCATTTAGTTCTGTCATCATACTTTGTTAGCTTCTCTTAATATTTCTTTTGAAATTAATATTTAAATGCATGTGCTTTTTCCACTGTTACAGACGACTAACTGGTATTTATAACGTTAAAATTACTTATGTACTTTGCTTGTGAGCTACATATCATTGATGTTAGGCTGTATGCTTGACCTGAATGTTTTAAATTTAATTGCTTTTGTTTAATTTTTTATTGTTTTCCATTCTTCAATATCATTTTTGTTTGTTTTTACTTTGTTCATAAAGATTTTTGTTTCTGTTACACTGTGTAGTTTTGTACGAATGGCTAGAAGCAGATCGTCATGGCAAGAGCCAAGATACTGCAGATACAACTTCAGGTAAAATAGTGTAAAGAAAAAATAAAGGGGGTATTAGGAATCATAATTCTAATTCACCCCACACCCCATCATGAATGTTCTTAAACTTACTTTGATGCAATTATAGATAGTAATATATTTTGTTCTCTCATCTGCATCTTAATTTTTATAAATACCTCATTTGCTTCATGTCTTGGAAAAAAATGTATTTACTAATCTAAGCTGTCTTGTCATGTATTTTCTATTTCCTTAGAAGGAGAGGCTTAATTAAAGCTCAAATTTAGTAGATTACCTGATAATTAGGCCTGTATATGGTTATAGCAAAGATATTGACATTACAGTTATCTTTTGGCAGTAGTAAAAATTTAACCTAAGGCCCTCATAAGTATATATAGATACTAAAAGAAATTTACAGTCCTTATTTGTTTCAGGACTATATTTAAAAGACGAACTTCAATTTATGGATGTTTATATACAATTTCTATTCCCTGTGGATCCAAAATCTCAAACTCAGTCATTTTTCCTGATTAGTCCTATCATTAAATTCTAAGTTAGTGGCATATAAAAATATGCATTCAAAATGAAAAGAGTAGGTGGTTCTCCCAGCTCCTAGGTCCCTCAGGTCCCTGAAACTTTTTTTCCCCTCCCGGTGATGTTAATAAGAATAGAATAGCTACATTCACTCATTTCTAAATCCTTACCAGTGGTGTCAGAGTCTTTGCCAAGACAGCTGTACATACCACAGTGATCTTTCTTGTTGCTTTTTCTTCCTTTTTTTTAAAACAGTATAAGAGAAACTGGTGATGGTGGTATTGGTAGCCAAGATGGTGATAGAGTTAGGCGTGGTGGCAGTATTACTGAGGTAGTAGTGGTAGAGGTGTTAACAGTGACGCAAGTGATGGTGGAGGTGGTGGTGATGGTGGTGGAGGTGGTGGAGGTGGTGATGGTGGTGGAGGAGGTGGTGGTGGAGGTGGTGGAGGAAGTAGAGGAGGTGGAGGTGGTGATGAAGGTAGAGGTGGTGATGGCGATGGTGATGGAGGTGGTGATGGTGGTGAAGGTGGAGGTAGTTAAGGATGGTGGTGGTGATGGTGGTGGTGGTGGAGGTGGTGGAGAAGGTGGAGGAAATGGAGGAGGTGGTGGTGGTGGTGAAGGTGGAGGTGGTGATGGTGGTGGAGGAAGTGGAGGTGGTGATGGTGGTGGAGGAAGTGGAGTTGGTGATGGTGGTGGAGGAAGTGGAGTTGGTGATGGTGGTGGAGGAAGTGGAGTTGGTGATGGTGGTGGAGGTGGTGGTGGAGGTGGTCATAGAGGGTACATGTTGTTTATGTGTGTTGTATTTTTGTGACATTCTTTATGGAGGTAAATTGGCTCTGTCTTGAGAAGGTTGGTTCCACAGGCAACAGACAATTATATTAAAAATGACACGTAATGATGTCTCTGATTTATCTTCTGTCCCATTTATAACTTGATATTTGAGTGAAGATGTTACTATTTTAACCATGCACAGGCAGGAATTCATTAAGTACTACAAATAGTTATATCCTGAGTTATGCGGTGTTTTGTTTTGTTTTTTTGTTACTGTGGTATTTTATATTTTACTTATAGTTATGGATAAAGGTAGGCATTTCTGGGTCTTAGATTATGGGCAAAAGAGAGGGTTTCTTAGAGTTTTGCTATGATGGTAGCTAAGTCAATAGCATACAGTGTTTGTTTGTGTTCATTTTTTTTTTTTTTTTTTGAGACAAGGTCTCTATTTAGCCTTAGCTAAATCCCTGGAACTCACTATGTAGACCAGGCTAGCCTCGAGCCCACAGAAATCCTCCCACCTCTGCCTCCCATGTGCTGGCATCAAAGGTGTGTGCCACTCCGCCCAGCCTAGTAGCATAGATTTTTAGAACCAGAAGACCATTTTCTTGCCTGCTTCCTTATTTGTTTGCTTGTTTGCCTAAAGTGAAATCTAATCTTTTTTTTTTAAAACAAGAAAATTATCTCAGTGTTCACACAAACAGCTTAAGAGCATCATTTATCCAGAAGTCAAGTTTGAATCCTGAATCCTGTGTTCGTCAGTCACATTGACTCATGGACTGGTTAATATTTATCGACTCAACTTTTGGTCACTTGGTAATCTAGTACCAAGGTATAAAAATTGATAAGTTTTGAGGGTGCTTTTTTTTTTTTTTTTTCTGTTCCTTTATTGAGGAAGGATTCATAGTGATCCTCCTGCCTCTCAACTGCTTGGATCATAGACATGAGAAACCACACCTAGTTGCCTTTAACAGTTGCTCTCCTGGGAGTGGAAGCGCTCAACTCTTAGAATATGAAACTACATACTAAAAATATACAGAGCTGTGGTAATTTAGCTAAATAAATCAGGAGAATCTAAAGGAAAATTATCAATTGTCAAGGACTTCAATTAGAAGCCATAGTTTTGTTGCTTTCAGCAAATATATTTAAATTTTGTGCTTTACTCATAAAAGTTCCTGTATATTTAATATTGAATATTCCAATAAGATTTTAGTGTGTAACATTTCCCTTCTGTGATTTTTTTTTTTTAAACATTTACACAACTCAAAAGTACCTTTCAGTAGGGCATGGTGGTGCACACCTGTAATCCCAGCACTCAGGGAGGCAGGTGGATCTCTGTGAGTTTGAGGCCAGTTTGAGGTCTACAAAGTGAGTCCAGGACAGCCAAGGCTACACAGAGAAACCCTGTCTCGAACAAAAAAAAATCTACCTTCTCATATTTTTCCCCAAGTGGAAATTGAGTCAAGATGGCAGTGCCGCTTCAGGTCCGGTGGCTTTGTGACGCTTCTTTTAATTGTACAAATGCTGGCAAACTACATTGATAGTTTTCTGTAACTGTAGCTTGTACTAACCTAAAAGTAGAAAAAACATCTGAGCTTTTAATCCCAGCACTCAGGAGCCAGAGCTATATAACAGTCTCAAAAAGACCAAAAGGGGAGAAAGGAAGGGAGGAAGGGAGGAAAAGGAAAAAAAAAAAAAAACACACACACACAGGAAATGAAATTTCTTTGAGGTCTTCTAATCTCTTAATACCATCTTTTTTACATTGACTGTTTAAGATCAAAAACATAAATTAAATTAAAAAAAAAGGCTGGCGGTAGTGACACAGACATTTAATCCCAGCAGAGGCAGAGGCAGGCAGATCTCTGGGAGTTTGAGGCCAGCCAGGTCTACAGAGCTAGTTCCAGGACAGCCAAGGCTACACAGAGAAACCCTGTCTTGAAAAAACAAACATAGAAACAAATCCATCGGCAGCAAGATGTTTTATGAAACTAAGGTATTTGGGAGTAATAAGTCTTACAGAAATAGTTTGGTCAAGGAAATGAAGAAAAATCTGATCACTCTCACTGAATTCTTATTTGCAGAGGTAGTGGTGGTTTCAAGGCAAGGTTTCGTTGTGTAGCCCTGGCCAACCTGGAACTCTGTAGACCAGGCTGGCCTTGAACTCAGAGATTCACCTGCCTCTGCCTCCCAAGTGCTAGGATTAAAGACGTGTGCTACCGCCACCCAGTATCTTTCTAGAAACTTGATAGGTAATGACTTGAGTGAAGAACTTCTTTAAAAAGTTATGTTCAGTGTGTTTTGCCATCATCCAGCCAGCAGTGAGGTTTGACTGTGCTGACCCCGTCATGGACCCCTGTGCCTGTGTGCCAGGTAGTGCAGTACCTGCTCTGCACCGCAGCGTTCAGTTCGTGTGCAAAACTTCAGTCTCGCAACCTTTACTTGAAAATACTTCAGTGAGGTGTTTTTATATAAATATTACCACCATACGTGGAAACGAGTATAATTCCATAACACCAATGATATCAGTGTGTTTTGATTTTTAGTGTTATAAATACAGCTGAGATTTTCTAAAATTCAGATTTTAAAGTTTTTAAGTGCAGGGGTTTTTTCCTTTTTCTTTTTAAAATTTTTTAGTTATTTATTTTTTGTTTTTTTGAGACAAAGTCTCACCTTGTAACCTTGGCTAGCCTGGAATGGGACTCAGCACATAGAATTTGCAGATCCCTGTCTGCCCCCTGATTCTCTTTATTGCTAGTTCTCTAGTTAACAAGTATTTTTCAACTAACGTTAAATATAATCAATAAATGTTTTAAAAAATATACATATATACTAGCCAGGCATGGTGTCACACGCCTTTAATTCCAGCACTCAGGAGGCAGGGGTAGGTGGATTTCTGAGTTTGAGGCCAGCCTGGTTTATAAAACAAGTTCCAGAACAGGCAGGGCTACATGGAGAAATCTTGTCTCTAATGGTGTTTCTGGTTTTGCTTAATAATAGTAATAATGCAATATTTTAAAAGTTATGTATTTTTAAGTTCCAGTTATTAATTCATTATTAATTATTTGTTGCAGGTGAAAATTTTGACCAGAGTCCTTTGAGAAGAACATTCAAGTCCAAAGTTCTGGCCCACTACCCTCAGAACATAGAATGGAACCCTTTTGATCAGGATGCAGTGAACATGGTATATGTCCTCTTTTCCCTCCATTTTTCTTTAGCACTCCTTTTTGTGTATTAAGATACGAATGATAAGTGTGTACTTTAATTTAATTAGTCCTTTAATTTCTATGAG